TATATATAATTAATGTTTCTCTTTTTGTGCAGAATCTGACCTCATGGATCCCATATGTGAACATCAGCCTGATCTTTTGCATCATCTGCATTTTTGGACTTGGACCTTGTGAGTTTTCTGTTGCTTGTTCACCTCACACGTAAAACACTTCCCCTTTATTTTTATTAAACATCTTAAATCTTCTCTAAGCTGGAGTGTCCATGGCTCTTCCTGCTGACCTCTTCCTACAAGCCTGGCGTCCTTCTGCTTTTGTGATCAGTGGGTCCATTAACTGGCTCTGCATGTTCCTTGTTGGGATGTTGTTTGGCTACATTGTGGTGAGATATCTGCTGTGTGTCTACCGTACTTTAAATCTCTATCCTTACATTATGTCAACTACTTAATTATTCAACACTCTGTGTTTATGTGTATTCCTGCAGGACGGACTCGGGCAGTTCTGCTTCCTGATCTTTGTGGCCTACTCCATTTCCAGTGCGGCATTTCTGTTATATTTTGTCCCAGAGACCAAAGGAAAGACAATGGTCGAGATTATGGAGGACTTCAACAAACTGAATTACAAGAACAAGGGCATTGACACTGACAGGTCTGACATTGATCTTGGAACTAAATTTTAACATTAAAAATATATACAGTACACATCATTTATCACCTGTGACATTTTTTGCAACTGAAACTGTATTTCAAGACACGATCATGCGATTTATTGTTTCATTCAATGTAATCATAAATGAGTGTTACCTGTTAGAATGACCATCTACCAGATTATTAGGAACACTGAAACCAGATCATATACACACACACAGTGCTGACGGTAAGAATGTGAAGTCTGTAAATATATTAACATGGAAAATAAAACATTTGTAAACTGTGTTGGAAAACTGTCTCTTGTTTCGTACACCGCTCACAAAAAATTAATAATATGGGAACCCTCTTTGGAAAACAAACTCTTTTTTTATTGTTTTTTTTTTTAAATTTTATTTCATCATGAATAATTTATTATAATTGTGATTGTTGTTTGCATTTTCTAGTCTTTAAAATGTCTGACATAATACATAACAATAAGCTGTGTGCTTTCGATATTCTTCTGGATGAGAACACAGTTGCTCCCCAGTTCTTATAAGGTATTTGAAAATTAATAAAGATATTACTGGAAATACTGCAGTAGCCACTGTGACTGTCGTACTATTATATTATATCACTAGATAATTATGACTCATGCATTAACATAAAGCAGGATGAAGCAGTATTTTGGTGTTTTGGCCCCGCTGGACCTTTGCAAAGAGTATTCTGATTACTCCCGAGTGACAGAAACATTAGCATAACTAATAACTTGTGAAGCTGAGCAAGAAGAGTGTGCAGCGTCTTCTCTTCAAGAAAAGCGGCTGTGAAATATGTGAAGATTTTAGGTACAAATTTTCCCCAAAAAGCCTGCAAAATCTTGGGGCCATATCCACAAACATTCTGAGAGTACTTTCATAGGGCTCCTAACTTAGCCTAAAAAATTTTGTAAGGATCTTAGCTTTGGAGTGATTTAGGAAAGTTCTTAGATCAACTCTTAGCAAGGAAGGGAGAGACATTTGTACCATTGTTAGTGTGATCACTCTGCTGATGGAAGGTTTAGACTGACTCAAGTCATCACTGCTGCACTGTTAAATTTTCCCAGTTTTTCAAATATCTTAGTGTTGTGATCATTTTATTTTTGGTGTTCTAGTCTGATCTGTAGCATTTCATTTACTCACTGTGATCCAGCATGTGGAGAATATTTCTCCGACCTCTTTGTGTTTCCACCATTTTCTCCTCTGCATAAGAAACTCTTAAGCCTCTCAAAAGTCCTCCTCCCTGCTCCGAACACTTTTTTACCTTAGGAGCTCTTTTAAGGTCCAAGACGCTCTGTGAATAATTTATCTTTACAAGGACCTAGTCTGAAATTTAAGGGGAAATTCTAAGACCTATGTACTTCACATTTCACCACTGGGAGCAGGGTGGTTGTCGAAAATCCTTCCATGTCCAGGACAGGTCTTAACAGATTGATTGTTTCATTATATACTTGTAATAACTACACAAGAAAAGTTATGAGCTTTTTCAATTGCAATTTATTTGTTGCTCATCTCTGTACCAACAAGAGAGATGAGACTCAATAACAGAGTACAAAAACAAATATCTATAGAAAAGTATGCTTATATTGAAATATGTCCAAAGACGTTATAACAAAACATGTAGCTCACATGTCTTAAGAGCAATCTTGTTGAGTACGATGATAAAATACCAAGTTAACATATTGTACATTTTTCTGTGTGTGTTTTTTATACAAAAGTGTCAATGCAAGTCACTCTGTACAATTCTTAACCTTTAGAAAAGAGGACCTTTTTTAATCCACTGCTGTGCACAATCAGTATTTGGAAGGCACTTTGCAACAGACCAAAAGCAGAAAGCAAAAAAAAACAAAAACAAAAAAAAAACATTTAGGCCTAAATACTCAACAAAAACACCTTGAGTACCGACACGAGTGAAACAAAAATCATACATCTCAGTGAGGAACGAACGCAACATTATTTCCTTACAGCATCTTCCACTTCTTCTTAAACAATCAGGAACAGAAACAACCCTTATCACCTGTTAAGGAGTAAATACTAGTGCAGAGTGGATCAAAAAAGGAGGAAAACTTGGTCAGAGACGTGAGTCGTGCAGCTGGCAGTGTGAGCGCTACCAGAGCAGAGTGACAGTACGGCGAACAGTCAAACTAAAACTGCCACCAACCAGTGATCGACATTCAGTACCCAGCTCAGCTCAGCATGCCCGAACATGCAGTTTACACTTTCAATCAAATGGCCATAACTTAACATCCCTCCACATGATGGACAAGAAAAAAAAATCTAAATATGTACAGGACCACCACTGACAAACACTGATCATATTGGTTGGTTCATATATATTTATATATATATTTATAGAATGTGTATATGAATGGTATATACACTTGTTACAATCACAACATAACCATAAATAATATAGGAATGTACTGAATTAACAGACTAGAGCACTCACAAATAATAATTAAACAGAAAGCAGGAAACACAGATCAAACACAAAAACGCACACATACGCACACACACACTCACACAGATGGCACACGTGTACACTTTCTTTTAACAGAGACCATCACCACACACACACACTGCTAGCCCCTTCACTGTTGGACTGGGTTTGACTTGAGACATGATACAGGTTTTACAACACAAGGAAAAACATGAGAAAGGTGTTGATCAGCTGATGTGTGAGCTGGGATTGCTTATTTTGTTTCAGTATGTACAAGACTAAAAGGAAGCGTGTCATGATTGTGAAAAGGTTCTATGTTTGCATTTTTGATTGTTTTAACCAAATTAATAGTGACACAGAATTGATCTTCACACAGTTTCTTCTATCCAGTAACATCCTGTTGCGTTATTTAAAGGGGAATTCCGCTATTTTTCAACCTGCACCTATTTCTCCCCATGTTTTTGTGTCTAAAACTGCTTTCACACATATACTGCAAACCTGAAATGATCTAGACATTAGCCGGAGGAACTGGATGTGAGAACGCCAATGTCTGAATCAGTTGGTTTGGACATTAAACAGACTTTACTTGCGCCCTTTACTAGCGCCCTAGTACAAAGTCCTCGTAATGTTCAATTGACCCCATGTGTGAATCAAGCAGGTAATTGTCCAGAGAATTCCCAGTGAGCGAGTGGCCATGTTGATGATGTTTCTATCATGTGGCTTGTGCAAAACAGGAGGAAAACAAATTTCAGAGGGTGAAAAAGAAGAGTAATTTACAAAAAGACGACACCGAACATCTCATACTGGAGAGATGACAAGATTCACACAGATTCAAGGAACGGCAAGAGACCATTGAATGATCCGGCTACATGACCACGGTGTTATTCGCGTCATGTCCTGCCTCCTACATGATCGACTTAGGAGTCAACCCCGGGCCTAAACCGAACGGATGGAGCACCTCCAGTAAATGAGAAAGCATCTGACGCAGACAATCTCCTCCAGACAATGTCCAGACCTGATTCTCCGGATATTGTCTGGACTTCATATAAGAAACCAGCATAAGTGACGAATGTGAAGAACAGTTTTTGACATTGGTCCAGAGAGAGTGCTGCAGCGGGGGGCAGGTGCGCCCTGATGGTTTACGTCCATTAATAGTGCTTTTAGCCTCTAACAGGCTCAGACTGTTATTATGAGTGTCTTACAACATTAGGGAAAGGGCCCTATAGAGAAAGGAAACATTTTTCTGTACCTTTCGTTTCTTTTGGTCTGTTTGTGTCAAAGTCTCGCTAAAGGAGAAGTCTACTTCTGAATTTTAGTGAGAGGTGACTTGTTGCAGAAAGAATACGGTGGAAACATGGTGAAAATTGGAGTGCAGAGAGCACTTGTATCTAAAAGATTTTCAATGGTCAAAAAAAAAAAGAAAGAAAGAAAAAAAAAAAGTCCTTGAGATTTCAGAACGAGACTTCTCCTTGAGCGAGACCTGGACACAAAACAGACAGGAATAAGCATAAGGTACAGAAGGTGTAGGATCTTTTTAGTAATGTTGTCAGACAATCAGATTAACAATTTGAGCCTGTCTGTGGCAAACACAAGTACTCATGACAAAGTGCAAATGCCCCGAGCGTTTACACTGCAGCCTGTGACGCCACTGCCAGCTGCAGCACTCTCTTAATACTGGAAATCAGTGTTCCCGTGAGTCACTTAGACACAAAAAATGGGAAAATAGGGTGCAGGCTAAAAAATACTAGAGTTCCCTTTACAATAGAAAACCATTTCAGCAGCGTAGAAGCCTTTTCATTACAGTGGAGGACGATTTCAAATCAAACTAAGCAGCGCAGCAGGGTGGATGTGAGGCTCCTATTGTGCACCGATTTAAGGAACCATTCAATTAAGTCTGTTCTCATCAAAGGAATGTCTTTTTGGATCAAACACATTTTCACTGCAAGACACTCGGATGGAAAGCTTGCACCTAAAACTAGGGACCATTAGTGCAAACACAAGACATGTCATGTACTAACAGCACAAGCAAATCTGACAGGAGGCGGGTGAGCAACACAGGAAGTGCAGGTGATGAAGAGGAAGAAATAAAGTGAGCGTAATGACTTGGCTCTGTAAAAGAAGCATTACGTTTGGTCGGTTCAGAGGCTGGTGGATCAGGGTGTGGCTCCTTCTTCTAACCCCCCCTTGTTGCTGCACAACACACAAACACACATACCCACACATCTCCATTGAACATAATTTAGAGTGAAAAATATCAAAACGAGCAAATCACAAGATTTTTGTTTGACAATTAAAAAAAAAACCTGTACACAAAACAGAGGGCATGAATAAGTTAATAAAATATAATCTACATTTCTAAAAATATATACTGAAAATATACCTGACCTTGGTCCCTGTTGAATGTACACAACTGATTTCATACCCAACAAACCAGGCTTGGAAACTTTATCATTTTAGGGGGGGGATACAAAGCTCATTCCTAACAGGCTCAGGGCATGATCCAAGACTACAGTTACAGGTTAAAAAAAAGTGGGAACCTGGGAAAATTATTTTCAAAAGTATTCCTGTACACAGGATATAGATCATAGTAATAATGGCTTTCCTCTCCTTAATTCTTCCTTCTTTTTTTTTTTTACAAAATATTTACAAATCATCAAATCAAAAACTGATAGAGCTTTTCGAATCAAACAGATCTGCTCCATTTTAGAACAAATCCCTCCAGCTATCACATTAATCAGTCTCTCCAGGATTTTGAGATGTTGCGATATACACAATTGACGCAAATTCAGCCAATCCCTGCAAATTCTGCGTGACCTCGCAATGTTGTCCAATAATTTCAACTTTACTGCAAATTTGACTATTTAAAACAAGTAAAATTGCATTTCTTTGCAGAATTGAATGCAGCAAACTGATCCCTCTCTCTGTTTATCATGAAACTAACACACGGTTACAGGACTAACTGTTAGCATCACACAGCTAACTTTGCCCAACAGGTATTAATGGATTTAGCGGAGTCAAGGAGTGAATGAATGGAGTCAAGCCATTTCGGTGTCTGTGAGAGATTAACAGCTAGGTGTCGGATGTGTCGGCTGCTGCGGGGCTTCTGCCCAAGTGGCAAAATATAACAAGTAGGATTGAGATCATGTTGTGGTGTGTTAGCTCGCGCTAATCAGGCAGAGAGAGCAGGAGGAGAGCCTCTAATGCAAAAAAAAGTTTTCTGTGAAAATATGACATGTAAATTAAGCTTGTTATTGGGAGATTTAGCAATTCTGTATTATCGCACTGAAGGATGAACTTGATGGGAATTTAGGACTGCGTGAAATGGCAGCACCCCTACACTCACAGTTAAGATTCTAATTCTGTGGGAAACAATGAAAGCTCATAAATAAGCTCAAAATCTGTCACAGCAGTACAACTGTTTTTGCAACTGCACTGCACCCAAAAACATTGCAATAAACATTGCGACATACATCACAATTTTATAGAAAAGCTGCCGCGAAATCAGGCATTTAAGGCCGCAACAATCCCAAAAACAGCCTGCGAAATCCTGGAGGGACTGATCAGTGCTCTCTGGTTAAGATTCACAACTGCTTACAATAATGGTGAATGACACCACCCCCTACTTTGTTTAAATAATGGAAAAAAGGCTTCTTCTAGAAGGAATATGCACATTTTTAAAGACCTGGACTTAAAAAGAAACTTAAAGAAAGCAAGCTGTGGTGCTACTGTTGATATAAATACAGTTGTTCCCACTGACATTTTGTAGGTATTTCTAATTTCTGACAGGACAGCTTTTAGTTTTAATAAATCAATTTGCAGACTTTTTACTGTTTAAATCTTACAGAGGCTCTTATGTCCTGAAAGGTGATATTTTTGTGCGTGCAAGTTAAATATCTTTTGAGAACAAGACAGTAACTTGTTCCCAATTCAGGATTTCAGGGTCTCCATAATATCTAATGAAGTTGGCACAAGAAATAAACCTCCTTTTATGCACAAAGCAACATGGTGTAAATTTCTTCAGTGAGGTTTTGAGTTATTTTTTGCCAGATTTTTTGGTGCCAGATGAGCTTTGTGTGGCTGCTGTAACAGTTCAAATTCAAAGTTCAACCGCAGTTCATTAAGGTCCTTGACAGCTGTCAGTGCTTCTCAGTAGCCAGCAAACCGACACCTTCTGTATGAAGCTGAAGAAAATTACAATAAACATGTCATGAAATATGCCGTGGGCTTGTTAGGAATGTTTCTCAGAATAATTAACAGAGTAAAAGAAAACCTGCAATCAAAACTGAGTCCAATTTAAATCCCTGTCCTTAAGAAAATCAAAATCCTTCTCAAAAGAAGCCGACACAACATACGTACAGAATTCAGCCCTCTTGTTGCTCTGAGGTAAAGACATGTTTACAGCCTTCAAGGAAACGGAGAATACGAAGCATTAAAATCACTGTAGTGGCCGAGGGTCAATTCACCGGGTACATCAGAGCAGTTAAAGTGGGCGAACGGACAATAAGTAGTTACTTACTACTCGTTTTAAGGTTGCAGTAAATAATTCGTCTCATGTCAAGAAACATTTGTGCAGCTAAGAAAGCTCAATAACACACAAGCCAAAAAACAACTGAGGGAATACCAAACATAACTTCGACAGATCCACGTCAGATAAAGGAAATAAAACCTTCATGTTGTTTCTTTATAAAGAAAATTTAAACACCGTGCACGCACTTTTCATACTCTGAAAAGGTAGAAAAAGTAGGAATCATATGGCAGTCTGTGACAAAAATATCGGATACACATTAAGCGACGTAACAAACAGAAAGAGTAGCCTTGAGGCAAAGTTATTCCCAAATACAGAGCATCTTCTGTGGGCAACCCGGCTTTGTCCTAAAAATGAGAGGCTTTGCAAGAACTTCAGTAAATGTGTCACTTCCCTCCGAAGTCGATTCCACTTTGACCCGCCTCAGCATCCACCAGTGAAGAGGCGAAAGCAGACTGGACTATCTGAAAGCCAAAAGACTCCAGCAGGGACATGTTTTGTTGAGGGGAGAAGGGAGAGGTCAGGGAGGGGGCCAGCTCATTCAAGCCCGATCCTGAAACCCCCTGAGCCTTCTGGGCTTTGTGAACTCTGTGCTGGTGCTTGTTGAGGTAGGACTTGGTGCGGAAGGCCTGACCGCAGATGCCGCAGGTAAACTTCTTCTCAGGGTCCGTCTTGGCTTTAGATCCCTCTGGAGAGCCCAAGGCCCCCGCGGAGGCTCCGTTACAGGCCAGAGAGGGCATCTCGAGCTCCGGCCCGTCAGGTTTGTGTGGAGATTTAAGCTCGTCGCCATTGGACAGTTCCCCAAATGAAGGATCTGATTCTTCTGACTCCAGATGAGGACACTTCCCAGCGTTTTCCTGCCCGTCTGCGGTTCACACAGCAAGATAGGAGGAGGGTAGAGAGTGAGACAGAGAGAGAAAGAAGTGGAAAAGGGAGGAAAGGGAGGAATGAATTAGGACAAATGGATTATATAAGCACAGGTTTTGACAATTACATCTTTAATCCAGTAGCTGGTTGGCACCTGCAGAAACTTCAAACATTTAAACTTCAGAACTTTAGTGAGAAGGCACCAAGTACAAGAAGAACAAATTATTCTTAAAGATCATTCACTAACTACAGAAAAGGAAAAAATGTGGCTACAGCATTAAACTACACAATCATATGTCTCAGTCCATCTGCCCAGTGTCCAGTGTCCACCAACCAGTGGGCAGTGCTAGCACCATGCCCCCACCCACCCTCCTGCTGGACTGTACTGACCTGCAGCAGGCCCATGGACGGGGAAGCCAGGCACCCCGCCAGAGCGACAATCCCAGAAATATGGAGCCCCACCTGCCTTCCCCAAGAGCAGCTCAGGCTGCAGGCCCAAGGCTGGAGGGCCAGGCTGGGGAAGAACTGGGTGTCCAGTGAGCCCATGAAAGCGACCCTCTGCCTCAGACGAGGTGAGAAGCAGCTGGCGACTGGCGCACAGGTCTACACAACACCCGGCCAGGGAGAAAGGAAGGGGAGGGGGCAGACACAACAGGCCGGCGGAAACCATACGCACAGAATTACCTCAATAGTTCTTGAAATGCTTTCAGTAAACTAGACAGTTTTGATAGTTTGAATAAATCTATAGTGACTGAGTCCCATCACTAAAACTGTAATAATACAAAATCCCTCAACTATATGATGTAAATAACTTGAAATAACTGACTTAACAATTGATATTTGTAAAAAACTACGTCGGATGTATATGCTCCATATGGCTAATAATCTTTTCAGCTACAATAACATTAATTGTGTGTCATTTGAGCGATACAAGCAGATTTCATTATGTGAGAAATGCCCATACTGTGTATAACAATATGTAATGTTCACAAACACAACTTGCTCATCTTACAAATGAGATGACACTAAATGAAGACTATAGTGAAAAACTGCAGTAAATATAGTGACAGTACACACTGCTGGCCGTTCCTAAGTGTAAATCATATTTTCAGCTTAAAGGAGACACTACAGGTAACAACAGTTTTTTCACGCAATGGTCAGTTTTGAGATTTTGGGCTATTCTTTCAGACTAGTGGAAAGAAATGTCCAAAATACACTTTTTATACACTTTTTTTTTGTTTATTTTAGTTCAGATTTCTGTTCAGGAAATGTATGTAAAAAGCTCATATTTAACAAGATAATGTCCAATATGCATATTTCAACATACGTTTTAATGTAAGTAATCAACTGTTTCATTATGATATCTATTCGTTAAAATGTTTACCCTATTCACCTTCACTGTCTAATTTTTTATAAAATATGTATGAAATTTAACAATACATATCTTTAAAGGCCATTTTCTCAAAGTTTTTTTTTCCTCTTAGACTGAACCCAAATGTCCAGACTTTACTGGCAGACTCGTGGATTTTGTGGGTGCACTCCCGGGAGGTTAGGGAGTGCTGAGGGCTGCCCAAATCCACAATTCAGCCAGTCCACAAGGGGCCTCAAGCAGACTTTCTACAGACTTCCAGAGAGTCCGCTTGGGGTGCAGACTTCGGCAGATCTCACTGATTTAATACCCACAATTAACTGCAATACGGACGTTATGTTGTGGGTTTTTCAACTGCCTAAAAAAAAAAAAAACACTTATGAATGTGTAAAGTAGTTATTGATAGTTAGGCCTATTAAAATGTTGTGAATGAATTGTGTGGGCCAGAAATAATACTGAACCACATCATGATAAAGATAAGTACACATATAGGCTGCATAGGGACTGAAAATGCATTTTATTATTGCGGCCTATCAGGTGGTGGAAAAGGCTAAAAAAAAATTGGCCGAAAAACAACAAAAGAAGGTCTTTAAAGCCCAATTTATTAAGTTACAGTCCTGTCCTTATTTATAAACATTTCTGATTTTATATGTGTGTAGCCTGTTATATAGAGCTGTATTGATACATATTTGTTTTGTCACATAAAAGGTTATACATAGGATTTATATCTTGTTATCTACAGGAACAGATGAGTAGGGACTGCTCATCAACTTCTATGACATCATTGATAGCTGAGTTTCCACGGCAATGAGTAAAACAGTCTCGAGAGCTGTCTGTCAGCCCCTTGCAGTCTCTGCCCTCGCAGACTTTACATGATGACAGTAAATACATAACACTACGTACAAATGATGTCTGCGAGGGCAGAAACTGCAAGTCCAGAGGGTGGACATTTGGATTCAGCCTTAATCTCCACTGCAGTAACACTTACACACAGCAGACAGATGATTTTTAATGAGGGGTCTGTTCATATATATCAGTCATAGCCTGGTTTATATAACATTTTATTCCTGAAAATTGATTTTTTTTTTTATGGCTGTAGACAGTATTTTCTGATTTATGGAGTGATTAAACAAAAAAAAGAGATATCTGAAGTTCACTCCATAAAAACCTTTGACTTTTAATATGTCAACAACATGAAACAAGAATTTTGAACCTGGCTTTCTCCAATGTTCAGATTTCTGTTTGGAAATTCATGTAAATTACTGCATATTTAATTAGATAATGCCACATTTGCATATCTAAACATAACATCTTAGAAAACTTGTTATAGAAAAAAATAATTGTCTTAATGTTAGTAATCAACGGGGGACGTTTCATGCTCACATTTAGTTAAACGTTTTACCCTGTTCACCTGTAGTGTCTGTATCTGATGAGTTTAGTCACTCTGAATTTAATAATTAAAGCCAAATACCAAATCTCTCACAAGGTTTAGTAGTGTTTACTCAAATTTTATAACTCATATATTCACAGTCTCTTTCCATTTCAGTGGTTAGCTTTACTTGAACCTGTTGTTCAGAGCCTCACTAAGCAGCACTTTGGTAACTGCTTAGATAAGATCTATCTGCCACGTGACAGTCAAAGTGTTGTCCACAGTGCTACAGGAAAACACATTTATACTAGTGCTCATTTAGTGACACTCAGTGTAGGAGAGAATAATCACTGCAGAATGACTCGGCAATCAATTATATAATGAGTCCACTAATCCTCTCACAACCTCAGCTGTACTGAACCACCTTGAAAAGGAGCAGAAAAAAACACAAACTTGCATAACAGCATAACCCGAGCAAGCAAATAAAAACAATAACACTGCCCATGACACGCATGAAAAACATGACTAATCTTTTGAAACTAAATGGAGGAAAATTTAGACTTTGTATCTGTGTGTCGTCACGTGGTGTGACATGTTGTTCTAATCACAAACCTACTGGAAAACACCATGGCAACCAACACTGGTTTTAACATCCTGGATTCAAAGGAAACGGCTAACCCACTAGCTCCTAATGAGCTCGTCAAGTCTCCACTTGCTTTTCACATGCGAGGCCAGAAACTCTAAGGTCAGTGTGGTGCTAATGAAGCCCTATCGACTGAATGATAATACCACTAATTAAAAAGAGGCTTGGTCAATTTCTTGAAATAACTCTTGCTCAAAAAATGATACCTATAGAGGATATGCACACAGAGAAATTATTTGGTCTATTGTGCACCTGTTTGCAGTCATGTGACTATTATGATGCACGAAATTCAGATGGAGGGCAGGAAGTGATAAATCATTACATTACACAACAAGCCAATAAAAGCATACAAAAGTCTAGAGGACAATGACTATTTTGTGTGTGGTTGGGTCCACAACTGAAACAACTGACAACAGTCTTGTTTTTGGCCGGGTGTGTAAATGTGCTTCAGTATAACGGTCTTTCGTATTTCAGCTCTGTGCATGGATGCACGGCTGTCGGGCTAATCTTACTAGCTAACGTTTTATTTATATTCTAATATAACCCACAAACCATTTATGCAGTTCAATCAAATAAAACTGAGATGAATAGACAATGACAATCTATGTAACTAGAACTCATAGAATTTACCTACCGTAAAACTTCAATTAAAAGCCTAGTTCCATTTACTAGCCGGGTGTGGCTACACATTTTGACAAATAAAGGCCTGTCTCAATTAGACGCCTGGTCTGGTTGCCAAACTGTTAATTTTATTTATAAGTTTTTCAGATGTATAAAACCAGGTTGTTGGCTACCTCAAATTATGTGTCCATTCCTCGATTACCCTGTAAGTTATTCATATTCCTTTAAGGGTCCTCGGATAAATGAATCAAAGGGGTTTTTAATAAAAATTAATCCAAGTTGTGAGTATTGTTTTAACAAGATAATGTGGCGTTGTGTCGGTTCACCGGGTGCCGTAATCCTTGAGTGCTGCAACTCACTCTCTCTGATGCGCTCTGTCGCAGCTAGATCAAATGAATGATTCGTAGCTGATATATTATCTGAAGCCTAATTTTCATACAAGTAATAATAAACAATTTGATTGTATTTCCTGATCTTCGCTGAGCAACAGTTTCATGTGAAAGAATCTAAAGGCCTGTCCCAAACAAAGGTCTGTTGATTTCAATGAGTCAAGCAAATAATATTAATTGAAATTTTATGGTTATTTACTTTAATAAAGTTTATGTAATTACTGTTTATGTATTCTGTGTTTTTAAAATGTGGACCAACACCAACATATTTGAAATACACAGAATTTATTTACAGTAATGACTAACTTTAGTAAATTAGGTAAACTCTATGAGCTATGGTTACATAAATTGTCACAGTCTATTCATCTTAATTTGATTTAATTTTTTTAATGGCATTTTTTGGTTTACATTAGAATTACTTGACTAAATTGTATGGAAATTTTATATGTAATTAAAATGTATTAATCTGGCAAAAGAGACCAAATAATTTCTTTGAGTGTGTCTTAACCTTTCTATCATGATGCAATTTACAAAAAGGTAAACACAGTGATCATAATCAGTTTTAATGACTTACTAGGTGGCTAATGGTTTCACCTTACATCAGTTCTGTGAGCAAAATCAGCTCTCGTTATAATTAATAGCTGTGATAGCCATCCTTCATTTGGTAATTAGCCAAATAGCATTTTTTCAAATACTCTCTGCTCATGCGTTTTGTTTTGTTTTTTCAGATTATTCATATAATTACAGGAAGTCAGTTACAAGTGCAATCAACACATCTAATAATAGCCTTACTAACAGTGGTTGTGGCTCACAGTTAACTGTGCACTGTCTCTATGCTGCTGGTTCTACACAAGGTTTCAGTGAATCCAGGGCAAATGGAGCACACATCATGACACTCATGCAACACTGTGCATTGCTGAAAAACTGCTGATGGACCAGCCAAGCAGAAACAGACACCATATGATGCCATAGCCATGCTGAACAGACACAAACATAAACAAAAGTGACCCAGCACTCTAAATTCTAATGTGGTCATGGTGGAGAACTTCCAACCATGAAGTCTAGACAACTTCTATGTGTTCAATGACTGCATGTGATGATGGGAACTTAATTTCCAGCCTCATAAAGAGCTATGGCTTGACACTGTGTCATAATGTAGTGAGGTACACATGCGTCTTAACTTGTCAAGCTACAGAAAAGGTCATGATTTCCGTTTTAGTCTCACTTCTGTATGCGAGTAAATGAGTCGTCTGCCTATTGACGTGCATTCACTCTATGGTAACAGATGCACTGCCCATATGTGCAGCAGAAACAGGTTCCTTCTGTCCACATCTGCAACACTAACTTTTGACATGAGTCAGTGAATCTTCTGAGAACACATTAATACTTCTGTTGAGCAAAACCAACTACCTGCCTAATTGTATACTATTAAATCTGCAGTTTAAGGAACTAGAGAATAATTAGAGAAAATGTCCTCACAGAGGTGTAAAGTTCTTCAAGCTGTTTGCCTTCTACCTAATTACCACAGGAAGGATCTGCATACACTGCCCCCTCAGACTGAAAGACATCGACAGTTAGCTAGCAGAAAGACGACCAGCACATGAAGTTGTATAAAAATGTTTGAGCGCAAAGCTTGGCAGCAGAGGTTGATGTATGCTTGTGTTTTAAACATACACAAAGGATGCAACAGCATGTTTCTCCAAAGAGCAGCAGAGCAAAATGAAAGCCAGAAACATGAGAGTTTGGGATGGGGCGGGCGGCTGCTTGCCTTCCACTGAGCACTGGCGTCCCATGTGGTAAGGGGTGCCGTTGTGCATCTGCAGCTCCCCCCTTGGCTCAGGGAAGGTGTGCATTGTGGCAGAGGGGGGCAGTGGAGAGCCATGGTGTGTCTTTATATGCACCTTAAGGTAGGACGCAGTGGAGAAACCTGGGACCAGAAGAACAAAGAACAAGGCAGTTGTTGGACACACTGAAGGCCTGCTCTGGCTGTTCGATGTCGATGATCCGACAGATACTCGGACTGGTTTGACCAATAACTCTGGAACAGTAATGATTCACTGACTTAGTTTACATGCACACAAATATTCCACAATCATTCTGAATTTGATGGGGGTCATGTAAACACCATCTTCTATTTGGATATTCAGAATAAGGCCTTTTTCTGGATTTATCATTTCCTGATTAAGACATATGGCCTCACACATGGCCTCTTGCCTGTTCACGGTCAGGTCTGTGTGTTGTACACAACGGCTGTGGTAGAGATACATGACCAAAAAAAAAGCTCACATTTCTGGTCTGAAGGAGAAACACACCTTCTTTTAGAATTATGAAAGACCTGAATATCAACAAGTTTTTGGATGTGTGCAAATATTGCAATGTCGACCTTTTCAAGAAAGTGGTTGAAGGAATGAAAGAGGGAGGCTGTGTTCGCTCAGTCAAACAAGTTCGCCATTGTTGGAAAAACTGATGCAAAGAAGCGAAAAGGCATGGACGGCTCCAGAAGTTCCACTTTTCCATATTTTGACATGATAAACTACATGTTAGGGCACGTAAATTGATACTCATTTTCATCAGCCATGTAAACGGCTTCGTAGAAATATTGTCTTTTTAGGAATAAGGGCAAAACCTTGAATATTTTGTGCATGTAAACATAGTCAATGAGGGGAAGTTACATTAATATCTCTCTCTTTGAACTTTATCTCTCAACAGTCAGGATCATCACTGTATTACAGGCAGGCGGCAAAAATTAAAGTCTCCCTCCAAAGCAAACAAAATGTGATGCACACTGTGAAAGATGGTCTTTGAGAACAAATCACAGTACTTTTGTCCATGTTTCACTCTTTGTTAGAAGGTTATACTGACACTCGCCAGCAATCTGACCTCAGGAAGGAGACTTCTATGAAAAATTAACTCCACCTATGTTTTGTTTTTATGCAGCTTTTCTCCACTGTCTTGAATGTAATTTAATCCACTTAATCCACCGTTTCAGTTTCATTTTACGTTTCTTCTTATCTTGATTGTAAATGTAACTTTGCTCTTATTGTCTTGTGTACAAAGCAACAGGATACACAACTTTCATAAGACCTCTCTGTACAGATGAAGGAACCAAGCCTCCAGGAAGAGACTAGAGGCATGAGTTGATTTTAGTAAAGTGGCCTGAAAAACATTTTCAACATGTAGCACCAAGACGTAATGTTCAAGGTAAAGGCCAATTATCTGATGAATTTGTCACATTCAGCGTGCACATTTCACCTTGTCTTCAGACCAAACAGACCCTGGAAACAAAGAATTTAAAATATTTTGCACAACCTGCAACCTGTCCCTGAAAGACACAGTTGAGTGGTACCAACCCATCAGGGAGCACAAGAAACAGGGCACAACACACACCCTGAACAAGGCTTTGAGACAGGTCAGAGGTGTGTCCTCCTGTGTCCTGGCAGAAAATACACACTTTAAATCAAATATGTTGTGACTCTTGTACACTCCATTTCCATACCACCAACTGTACAAAGTGAAGACCAAAAGCAGTCGTAAGTGACTAATGTCATGTTTGGGTGGACATCTGCAACTTTATTTCGATAAAACAAAAATAGTGGCAAAAATGTTCTCTCTTTCTTGCAAGGACGTATATTAAGTGCTATGTGTACTTGCACATATTTGAATGCCTGATTCATTGCCATGTTTAGCACACAAGTCAACTCAGTGCCAGAAAGTGGAGATTTTTAGATATGATTTTTGCAGCCATGTCACACTCATGACAGTCTGCCTTCAGAGAGGTACAGGAAATCCTGAGTGTTTTGGACTGGGTTATAACTGCAAAGACATGACCATAACTGTAGACATTCGTTATTTATCTAAGAACACACAGCAGAGCCAACCAAATACCAAAATCGGATTTCTGTAAGTTTTCACCCTCTGAATGTCAGTGACTTCAGTACCAACTGAATATCCGTCTGGACACGGGACAGAGTTGTTTCTGGGGGGCTTGTAGCAGTGTTGTGCATGCTGAGGTATTTTAAATAACTACCTTTGTTGCAGATGCCACAGTAGTTATGCGTCCCTTCACTGTGTTTCTTGAGGTGGTCCGTCATGTAGGCAGCTCGCAGGAACTTGCCACAAACTTTGCAGGGGATTTTGTCCTCATGGCATGCAAGGTGTGACCGGAGGCGATCTCTTGTGGCAAAAGAGGCATTACAAATCTGAAACACAGAAATACAACACGTTAACACCTTACTCACGTCATGGTTTAAAAACATAACTAGGTGTGGGTTTTCATCTCTGATATATACGTAGATCCTTAATGTTACCTGGCACTTGTGGGGTCTCTCTGTTGTGTGAACCTGTTTGATATGTCCATTCAGGTGGTCTGGTCTGAAAGGGAAAAGGAAATTATTTCTTGCCCATCTGGGACTTATTTTGAACATAGTTCCATACAGACATCATCTCCTACCATTATCCTTCCTCAATTAACTGTAAGAAAATATCGCTGTTGCTGTTGACAACTTCGTTGTGAATGACACACATTTTATTTATCTATTTTAATCACCTGGTTAACAGCAGAAGCAACAACATAAGCATGTACGACTCTGGTGGGTGTTGAACTTCCTGTGCAAACTTAACTGTAGTGCCACCAAATACTTAGCGATACATGTGTGACTTTGTGAGCATGGAATTATATCCATGTTTTCTTAATGTTTAAATGTTATATTTGTGTGGTGCAAAGTTTCAGAGGCTGACTAATGTAGTGAAGTCAATCACATCTAGTAAAAACAGAAAACAATAAAGTGTAATGAAAGTAATACCGTAAAAGAAAGTATTTTTACTTAGGGCTAAGTGACTGTAAAAGCTACTCCTCGTCAGTGTACCACAGAATTAATAAAGCAATAAATAAAATAAATAAATATCTGGGACTGACGTTCATCCTGTGAGTGCAAAGGATTTATTTTTTATTAAGGATTTACTGGACAGTCCATAGTGGAGAGGCAGACAGGGAGCAAATGGATATAGAGAGGGCAAAATACAGATGATGTGGTTATGTGGCACGTGCTGCAACCAAATGGCTACCAAGGTACTCTGAACATAATATTTAATGCAACAAAAACATGCTAGAAAGCACATTAGTATTGAAATAAATAATCTTTTTTTTCCTGAATGTAGCAAACCTAAAAAGGACTCACCCGTGCAAATCTTTTCACTACAAATTTGGTGACAGCTCTGTCAATAGCCTTCACCTTTGCCCTCATCACATTTTTAGTTATTATTTTTAAGCAGTTACCATGCAACTACTGGAGCTCTCTTCACCTTTACTATCTGCATGTATTTTAACCTCCAAAGCAGCAGGTGGTGACAGTGAGTTCGCAGCAGGGCCTGAGAGCACTGAGCCTGGGAAAGTGGTTTGTGTGGTTGAGGCGAAATTACTCAGATGACAAGTAGCTCTGCAACGTTTCTGCAATTTTATAAGACAGAAAGCAAATGGATCAAGTGTGTAATGACACTAAGTATGTGTCGGGGTGTGCAGAATGTGGAGGTTTTAAAATTACTGATAATACCACAGGGTGTAACATGCCAGGGTCTGACCTCTGTCCCTACTGTTTATTGGTACCAACTTTCCATAATGATTACTTATAAAGCTTAACTAAGGCCTTGTTTTGGGACCTCAGACCTTGACCCAGGCTGCTGGTGGTAAAGTAGCAGACTACATTATGTGTGCATCTCAAAAGCTGAGTTATAAGCTTTCTGAACAGCTGATCTGACTGCTCCCATCAGTTTATACTTTGCTGCAAAGCTGTGGTTAATATCTGCAGTCACTGTCCTACAGGGACTATAACTAATATGCAGATTATACATAGAAGTGCACCAGTACTCACAGTAAGAAACTGTCCTGGGTGATTTTAGGATCCTAGGCACTGAGGCACAGCTGCAGCACTGTTTTTACACAACTCCAAAAACACGTCACATACTGTCAAAGTTCAACTCACCTTGAAAAACCTTTACCACAGCTTTGGCACACATAAGGTTTGCCGACTGACCCGTCATGGGACCGCACATGGTATGACATCCTGTCCTTGCGTTTGAACCGGAGCCCACACACATGGCACGCGTACGGCTTCTCCCCGGAGTGGGAGAGCTTGTGTCGGTTCAGGTGGTACACGTCGCGGAAAACTTTACCGCAAATATCACAGCCCACATGCCGCCTGGTCCTCTCCCGTTTGCGGCCGTTATCCAGCGTCAGCCCTCCGTGTAGCTGCACGCCGTTCTCCACCAGCCCGGGCTGAGACATTATGGAAATGCTGCCCGCTGCTGACAGGCTGTCACCGACGTTGTTGTTGTTGTTGTTGTTGTGGGCTCCGTGCTGCGCTTCGTGGTTCTTCAACCGGGAAGCCTCCGTGAAAGCTTTACCGCAGGTCCCGCACGGAAACAGCCCATTGTCTTTCTGGGTGCTGTGGTTAAAGTGTACAGGCTCCACGACCCCACCAGCTTTCTTTGGTCTCCCCCTGTTCCTCTTCGACCCCGGGGAGCCAGCGTCGTGCTGAAACGTGTTCCCCGGTATTTCCGTTGACGGGGACACCGACAGTCCTTCGACGGGCTCCAGCATCGGCATCGACGACTCGCCGCCGTCCTCCAGTAACACGGCGGCGGTGTCTTCGCTGCCATCCACATGCATCTGTGCATTGTTAGCAAAGCTCTGACCGTTCACCAGCATCGCCGTGCCGTTCACCAGATCCTGCTGCGCCACAGGGAAACCCAGCTCCGTGGCCCCCGTGGCCTGGAACAGGCTGGCGTCTCCTCCCCGTGAGGTCGGGACGAGGATCTGTACGTTGGACTGCTTGATCACCTCCTGACAAATCTCAATGACCGACCGCATCAGCAGAAACTTGGCAGCTGTCATCAACTCCGGGAAGCACTCCAGCCGCACCACAATCCTGGAGGTGTACGCGAAGTCCAAAACGTCTTTAAAAACTTTGGGGCTGATGGTGTGCATCTCCAGCTCCTTGCCGTCGCCCTCCGTCTGGCGGCTGAACACCGACTCGAAATACTCGCTGCACGCGGCCAGCACAGCTTTGTGTGCGGGGAAGCTCTCCTCGCCGACGCGTAGGATCACATCGCAGAACCTGCCTCCATCTTTCCTCTGAATGTTGAGGTTGTGTAGCATCTCCGCACTGTGCTTGCTCACCTGATAGGTGTACGAAGAAGTCCAAGACGGCTCCGCTACCTTCTCCATGCCGAATTCATCCAATAACAATGGTTGTTAGCGACGACAGTCGGAGAAATGACGGATTTCGGGTAACGATTTCGATCGGTTGATACCAGCTAGCTACAAAATCCGAAACCAACCGCCCCTCCCCGTCGTTTTAGCATCTAACGTTTAACGTTAGCAGTAGCAGGGAAAAATGGCAGCCCCCCAGCTTCCTGTGAACTTTGACCCTGGTTTCTTGAAGGGTGGGGGTCGCTCTTGTTTGGTGGAAAATGTCTCTGTGGGGTTTGATATTTAATGTGTATATTTTTACGATTGTCTCACACTAATGGCTGTCAGTTCGAGGGGTAGAGCCCCGGCACCGCAGGGGTCTCTCGTGTCTTTATGCCAAAACGTTAACACGCAGGTCTCTTCCTGCCTGGTGTGTTTGTAAAACCCCTCCCCCACCGACCAACCTTTTCCTCTGTGCGGAGTCTGTCAGCATGTAAACCATTATCACACTGTACAAGTCACCGAGGGGCAGTCCTGCCTCGTTTAAAGGACAATAAACCCGTGAAAATAACTAAGTTAAATCAGACGAGAGGACGCTCATGCTTTTATCATATCAGATATAAGTTAATTTATAACTTATATTTGTATAAATAATCCAATGGTTGATTATCAGTTTGGAGATTATGGATATCAGTGTTTGGCATTTTAAATGTAATTTTATAATTTGTTTTTACATAATTATACCTTAAAGTCATTATTTTATCCACTCCCATATCCTCCTGAGACCCTGCGTCCTAACATAAGGACATCACATTTGGGTTCCCTGCACCTCATACTTCATTCTGCTTCACTTACACCTGTTGTCCTCATTTGTAGACACTTTTGTGCTTAGTCTGCATCTGATCCCAACACAAAAATAGACAAGGTACAAAGCCTGATCAAACTGTGGTGACTTTGTGTCACCATTTTTTTTCCTAAGGTATGCTCACATGAACATTTAAGGGTAACCTTAGCCTAAGGATTTTTTTAGGATGTTGAAAGGGAAACCCTTATATGTTTCTCCATAACTGCTTTAAGTATTCCGTTATGTGTTGCTAGAAGGTCCCTAGTGACCATTTCCCTCAGAAAACATTAGGGGACCCATACCAGTCTTTTGAATAGTTATATAACCTGTGTAAAACAAGACAATAGCTGCATAATAAATCTCTACCTAACTTTAACCAGATACTGAACACCAAACTAGCACTGTCTAGTCAAGATGCTAATAGTGGACAATATTTCCTTAAAGGAGCAGTGTGTAAGATTTAGGGGAATTTATTGGCATCTAGTGGTGAGGACTGAACATTGCAACTATCTGAAACATCTCCCAGTGAGGATTTCTTCAGTGTTCATTGTTCAAGAGGTTTTTACCTGGAGCCGAATTATCCACAGGTCTCTTCCTCTCCAAATTAAACTAGTTAAAAAAAAAAACCCAATGAAGACGGCCGTTTCACGTTTTTTAAAAAAGTGTTTTTCCAACGCCACTCGCCACACAAAAACACAATTAGCCCCATCTAGAGCCAGTGTTTGGTTTGTCTGCTCTGGGCTACTGTAGAAACATGACGGTGCAACATGGCAGACTCCATATACGAGGATCCGCTCCATGTGTAGATGTAAACAGCTCATTCTAAAGGCCTTTGCACACAGAGTCCGTTCTTTCATCCAAAATTATTGCAAGTCTGAAAACAAATATAACTTCACGTTGTGTCAGTCACGTTTGCACACAGAGTCCGAAACTTTCATCCATCATTAAAATTCAGAACAGGTTAGATTTTCTGTGTTGTTGGCATTCATCAGAAGCCTTTAGAGAAGTTTGACCAAGAATCAGTGAAGAAAATGTGGCAGCGGGACATAGCCGCAACAAGACAGAGAAATGGGGTGCACAGAATCATTTCATGACTCACAGCTCACTTATTAGATAGTAATATTCTGGTTGATGATGAAGAGGAGGAGGATGTGGACCGCAGAGACAATGTGGAGGACAGAGTGGTGACAGCCGGATAGGTAACTCCAGTGGAGAGAGGCAAAAAAGGAAATGTGTCTTTGCATCTTGTCACGTATTGAGAGTGTGTTCAAAACAGTCCTGTAATTCATAAAGTGCATCTTCAGGCCAAGTAGTAACAGACCTTTTGACAGGTCTGGTTCTTTGCCTGATGAGGGTGTATGCTGGGATGAGCAGCAGGGAGAGGTGGTCTGATTGGCCGAGGTGGGGGAGAGGCATGGCTCTGTAAGCGTGCTTGATGTTTGAATACACATGATCAAGACTCAAGAGTGTTCTCCCCTCTAGCTGGACACTTAACATACCGGTAAAATTTTGGGAGTACAGTCTTCAAGTGAGCCTTATTAAAATCTCCAGCAACAATGTGTACACTATCAGGGTGGACCCGCTATTGTTCCTTTATGGTGTGCAGCAGGAGCGAGAGCGCCGTGTTAACATTGGCGTCAGGTGGAATATAAACAGCTGTGACAATAACTACTGTTAGCTCTCTGGGTAGATAGAAAGGCTGGCATCTGACAGACATGTACTCACAATTGAACTGAACAGAATTTTCACAACTAATAGAACAATAAAACACATCAGAATCAGTGTGCCATTCCACTTCTGCCAAAATACCACCCATTAAATCCTACACACTGGTGCTTAAAGACCTCAAACATATGACATTTTGTACTGGCATATCTTGTAAATTATTGGCTCGCTTGCCGTTTTATCTGCATTAAGCCATTTTTGGCCTGCGAATTAATAGGTCTCTCTACATTGTACTGTATTCTTAAATACATGCAATAAGTGGTTTATTTTTACAAGTACTTTGTAGATTAGAAGAAACCTGCAAGACAACCATCAGTATTTCCCTTGGCAAGTGCAGCAGAACAGATATCGCCCTCACTCAGTTTGCACAGAGTTCAGAGTAACACACAGCTGCTGTTTATTAGGTACACCTGTACAGCACAAGCTAACGCAAGCCAAGACCGCAGCTCTGCCATAAATTCTTTTTTTTTTTTTTTATTGAGGTCATAGTTTGTGTTGAACTCAATCATTATTGGAGAGTGTTTCTAATATTCTGCCCCTTCATGTATGCAAACATTAGGATCATCTGTCAGTATAATACAGTCCAGTCTAACAGTTAAATCAACACGTCCAGCAGTGTAAATAACCAAACATTAGCTTTGCAAAGGGAGCGTTTATGGCAGAGCTGTTGGATTGCACATGTATACCTTATAAAGTGGCCACTGAGGGTATATATTCAGTACATTAAAAAGGAAATACAAAACCATTTAAACAAATAAGCAAACTGTGTTTTACTGAATTTTATTTATTAATTCTATTTGTGCTTTTTATAACTTAATAGCACATAAACTGAATCCCAACCACCCCCAAAATTGACAATGTGAGCAGTGCTGCCGCCCCCCCTCAGTGACAGGTTGGATGGGAGAGGATACAGTTTAAAGGAAGGGAAAAAAAACCAAAACAAAATAAAGGCACAACCAGCGCTTGCTGCATCCCCCTGGAGTCGTCTTCAACTGCTCCAGCCAGTCTACAGAAAAGGGCCACTAGCCATGCCACACAGGGGAGAGTATACACATGTCTGACTGGCAGCAGCCCTTTCCTCAGTGCAGTTCAGCAGGGAAATTAAAGTTGGACAAGACAAGGAATGCTACCATCTCTTGGTGACGTTGTCTCTCGCAGTTTTGAGTTTGAACTGCAGGATAGTTTCACCTTCACTATTCCAAAAAAAAAAAAACCCAAACAAAAAAAACCACAAAAAAACAATAGCTATATACAGGGAGAATAAGATTCTTTCCCGTGGTCTGTACAATTGGGCCTATACATTATTTACTGCGCAGAGCCTAATACAAAAAAAAAATATCACTCAGTCGGCAAAACAAATGGCCATCACTTGTCCTCCCTTTTCTGCTGATAAGCCCCTTCAAAAAGCAGTGACTTCAAGGTTCAAGACAAAGCATGGCTAGACTGTCCAGGTCTTTCAAATCAAAGTTCACATTTTAATGGTAACGAGGAGGTGGAGATGGGAATAAAGGGAAAAAAAATCTTGCTATCCAGCAGGGTTTCTTATGGCCGAAACTCCAACTCATCTACACTTATGACCTTGGCCGGCATGGAGGGGAGTGGCTGTTCTAGCACGTCTGATCCAAACCACTTGGCGAGGCCTAGAGGGGGGCTGCCGCCATGTTGCTGGGAGCCGTTTGTCCGGTGAGGGCCTTGGCTCTGCGACTGAGGGCCTGGGATACCTGGGTGCACTACAAGATGCAACAAAAATAATTTAATTCAAGAGAAAATAGAACAAAAAAAACTTGTCCCATTTAACTAATTTCTGCAGTTTTTCATCCTGCTTAAATTTAAACTTGAATATTCCTAATTTTTTCAGCGTCAGTCACATAAAACCACGTGTGCAGACTTTGTGCAACTAATTTTTTTTCTATGGTATGCTCACATGAATATTTAAGGGTAACCTTAGCCTAAGAATTTCTTTAGGATGTTGTAAGGGGAAACCTTTGTGTTTGCCCATAACTACTTTGGTATTCCCTCATGTGCTGCTAGAAAGTCCTTAGTAACCATTTCCCTTGACCCAAAAAAAAAAAAAAAACCCCTAACAAGACAATAGTTGAATATACACCGTCAGTCAATCTTCACAAACTTTACAAAACTTCAACCAGACCCTGATCACCAAAATAGCACTTATTGCAGAGGTCTTCTGCTTTATTCAGCATTATGTTGCACCCAGCAGGACTCTGATTTAATAAATTGGTAGTTATAAAAATGTTAACTGCATCACTGAGGTAGACAGGCATTAATGTTATCTGGAAAACATCACGTTTATTGACTTTAACATATTTGGTATTAATTTAGCTCCATGTAAACGGTCGCAAAATGAGTTAGTGTCTGTTTATGAGTCGTAAGAAATCATAACTTATCTTTCACAAGGAGTAGAAGTAAGCCAGCTCGGCTCTGTTAAATGTAACAGTCAGTGCGTTTATATGCATAGTTAAGTCGAGCTACGGTTATGGCTAGGTCATCTAACTGGACTACTGTACTTGTCCCAGTGTACAAGCACGGGAGGGGAACCGCTTTATTGACTGAGATATGTCTGACTCTGCTATGATAGGTGGCGATATG